GTGCCCTCTTGGCTGCCAGGACACTGTACTGGCTCCTATTAAGCCTGCTGTCAGCCAACACCCCCAGACCCTTTCTGCAGAGCTGCTTTCCAGCCACTCAGCTCCCAGGCCGTGCCTGTGTCCCACATTGCTCTGATCTGGGCGCGGCACCCGGCATTTACCCTCGCTGAATTTCATCGCACTGATGACTGCCCAGTGCTCCAGTCTATCCGGATTCCTCTGCAAGGCAGAAGGAAAGACAGCAGGGCTTGTCTTCGATACAAACTGTTGGTTATATTGCTTTCAGCAGACCTCTGGCAGTTGTATCTAGTACGCAGTGTCTGAAGCTTTGCTTTTTCATAAATGCTTAGAGTCACAAAGAAAATCAGTGGCATAACACAGAACTGATGCTAGGCTTGAACATCTGTATCTGTTGTTCTTCACAGCAGCATGTTTTCTCAATTATATCTAACCTTTGGTGTGGGAAAAGCCTTGCAGGTTATCTAGTTCCATAAAAGCTCCGATACCTGCAGCAGTTTCCAGGCTTTCAGTTTGTAAACCTGGAGGTTTTTGTTCACGTTCCCTTCGCAAGTGTTTTCAGTGCCTCTCGAGGAAGCTAATGGAACCTAGAGAAAAGCAAAATTGAGGCTGCAGATCAAATCATGGAGCCATCACTGGGCCTTGGAGTACAAGTCTGGCAATTTCTCCATTGCACACGTTGCAATTAGAAAGATCAGTCATTACGTGGGGCCTGATGCTTGCAGGGCGGGGGGTTGTTTTTGGTTTTGTTGCAGTTTTTTTTTTGCTTGCTTTTTTTGTGAAGTAGAGAGTCTGCTGCTGCTACAGATCTTCATGCTTGCCAAGGGCTATCAGAGATGCCATACTCTGCTTCCCAAACATGATTCACAGAAATGCACAAGTATTTCTGTGCACAAACACACAGACACAGATGGGAGAACCTGCTATTGTCATTGTGCATGAAGCAGCAAGTGTTACTTGGAACAGGAACCATTTTTCATCCATTTTTGCTTTCTCTTACTAATCCTAAATAGCAAGGTGAGTATGCAGACAGCCTGTTCTGCAGTAGTGCTTAATAATCTCCATAACATCTCTGTTTAGTAAGTAAAGCAGATATGTGCAACCGTATTGGTAGAGGAAGACATGACGTTCTGCTCTTGTGGGGATTTCTGTAAAAATTTCATGCATTATTTCTAGCCTGAGCTCATCTACCTTCTGTTGCCAGCTTTTGAAATTTGTTGTATCTTTTCTCAAATAAAGTGCCTTAATGTATGTGCCGTTCTGCTGCATGTAGGTATTTTTAGGGCTACTCTCACCTAGTTCATTCCTGCACATTTCTTTTGTTAAGTTACATTGGCTGAGTTTCTCAATTCAGTCATGTATTTATTTTTTTTTAATTTCCCTGACTAGCCTTATTCCTCAGCATTGGTAGTGAACAGCAACTATTGATACTCCTGAGTTTTTCCCCATTACTCATACTGATGCACCAGAGAGGTGTACTTCCATCTCTAGCTCTTTGTGTCCCTGCTTACATATGTGCTGGGTATTGCAGAAATGAACTGGTAAGAGGCCAGCCCGCCTTCCCTTGGGAATGCCTCAACCTTTTGATTTCCCGTGGCGCAGCAAACGCTGACTCCTGCCTGAGGCAGAAGTCAGTTCCATCCTGTTAACATAAAGCAGTTTGCCCAACTCCCATACGATGTGTAAACCCTAAATCACTTGAAAAAAAAATACTGCACTGCCTGCTGAGGAAGCAGACATGGTGGCTGTGATCCAGAGACTAAGGCTGGTTGCCCTGGCTTGGGTTTTCAGTCCTCACCGGTCCAGTGGGTCATGTGCAGTGAGCAGCATTGTCTGGGCAGAGTAGCAATAAGGCTGTCGATGTGATTTATGCCACAGAAAGTTCCTGACCTAAGAAACTTGTAGTTGATACTGATAGGCCTTAAAAAGCAGGTGCAGAATGGAAGCCAAGAGTAGGAATCTTGTTTGAATGGAATTCCCCAGAAGAGGGTTTCTATCCTGTGAGAAGATTCGCTCTGTGCCCCTCCAGCAGTGATGGCCTGGGATGAGGTATACCTAGGAGGTGCATTGAGAAAGTATGACTGTGTAGCCCAGGGGTGGTGCTTTCCCTTATGCATCTTTAGTAGTATGACACAGAACTCATTCCCAGAAAGATGTTATAGATGAGAAGTTTGACACATCCTTAGTTTTTCCTCCAGGAGCTGCTGGGAACAGGATTGTGTTAACTATTGAATAATCCATGAAAGAATACTGAATACATTAGAAGACCAAATGTATGTCCCCCTCACTTCCTGCATGTATCACAGGTTCATTCATTCATTTAATTATGCAGCTCCCTGCAGGGTGCTGGCAGGGGCTGCTCAGTGGCACAGACATTTTGCCAAGCATTTAAAGGACTTGTGATGGAAGTGTCAGCCCTGCGTGCCTCAGAGGGACTTCTAGATATAATAAAATAAACAACAAAAAAAAAAACTTTCCTTTTGGAGTCTGTTTTTCTCAGTGTTACAAAGTGAAACAACACTTACCTACCTCATGCTAAGGACGTCCCACCTCTTGATTTTAAGGAATAAAAGAGCAGCAAAAGGAACGACCCTCTTTCTGAGAGCCCTGGAAATAATCTCTCCATGTGCCAAAGTCAACATCACTTAGCCTCACAGGTCAAGGGATGCTTTGCAGGGCTCTTCAGCAAAGAAGGGATTCCAAGTGGTTGGGGATTGTGGCATCCAGTGGTAAAAATGCATGAGAAATGAAGAGAATCACATCTTAATTGAAAGAAAAATATCAGGTTCCAAGGACAGTGATGAACGTGCTGATCCTGGTCAGCTGTCTCCACAAGCATCAGGGATAAGCTCTGTGACGTGCACAGGCCTTTGCTCACTGCAGGAAGTCAGAAACACTTGTCTGAAGGTTAGTACTACATGGGCAACCCTGTGTGTTATCCAGGCATCCTTCAGCACCTCTCAGCTGCTGACATTTTGTCTACTGGAAAAGGCAGAGGAGTTTTTTCAGTCCCACAGCTGAGGAAATGTGGTGGAGGTTGGGTTTTGGCACAGGCAGCTGCTGTGACCAGGACAGTGTCAGCAGAGTGACAACTTGCCTGCCTTTGCCATTTGCTTCTCTAGAAGGTTGCTTGGGCTGCTGGTTGTACCTAAGCCAAAATACTGGTAGAACATTCCCTGGTCGGCTCAGCAGTCTGTGGACTAGACACGAGCAGCTTGTGACTTCTCTCTCTCATTTCTGATTCACTTCTGGAAAGCTGGGTCTTACTGGAGGAAGGGGTGTGCCTCCTCCTTTAGCCTGTTCCCCATACCCTGATCCATATCCAGTCATTTCTGCTGTCACGTCCTATCAGGAGAGGAGGTAATACAGTAGGACTACACAAAAAACAAGTCAAATGCACAGTAGAAGTCACCTCCCCCTCCTGTAGAGACCAACAGAACCTGAGGCCATGCCTCGTGCAGAGCCTGACCGCAGGTAACATCACCCAGCTATTTGAAGCTGCCTGTGATACGGCAGATAACGGTGTCTGTAAGTCCTGAGGCGTGTTGGGGGGTGAGATTTGAGGCGGGGTTTTAGATTTTTGGCTCAGGAACACCTCGTCCTTTAGGTACACGTTGGAATATCACTGAGCAAAGGAGGGTATTGGCAGACTGTGAACCACAACCAATTCATAGAGTATGGAGAGTTTCCTCCAGGAAGGGCTCAGTTCTTGCTAGGATAGCAGTCCTGTGGGCCAGGTATGCTCCGGCCTCTGTTAACCTTCTGCGGGTCATGTTTTAGCTGGTTAGAGAGAACTGAATAACCAAACAGCTCCTCAAGTGTCCTTTCTTTAATGCTGGCTGGGGGAGCTGCAACCAGGCCGCAGCACCGGCAGTGTTAGCGCTGCTTGGCCTGCACAGCACCGTGCCCAGGTGGTGCTTCCTGGCCTGACTCTAGAGGGCTCGCTCCTGCAGCCTTGCAGAATTGTCTTGGCTGTAGTAAATGTGGAGATTTGCCTTGTACAAGTGTCTCACCTTTGTATTCAAATACTGAAATCGTCGAAGATTGTAAGTTTTGGCTGGCGGCATGAGTTTGGGCCAAATTCTCTACTGCAGCGCATGTGAACATGCACATCTTGCATGTGGCTTTGGCTGCTTTCTGCCTGGCTGCTGCCTTAAAGAATTGCTTCAGGTTTCAGTGGTACAAATCGTACTCTCACGACTGATCTGCTGAGGAGCCTGCTGGCACCGGGCCCTCTGTGCTCGGAGGCAAGCATGTGCCTCTCACGGGGGCAGGGGAAGTGGATGATGGATCCAGGGTTTAACCTGGAGCTTTCCTCAGGGAGCTGCTAGTTCTTCTTGTCAGGGTGATCTACCACCACCAGGTTGTTTCAAGCACCCCACTGAATAAGATAGCAGACTTTCCCAGCCTGTAATTGTTAGAGCAAGGCGAGCAGAAGGGAGAATCTTGGCGAGCCTGGTTCCTCCAGCAATGTCATTTATTTCCTGGAGTGAGTCTCAGCTTTGCTGCATGCCTTGTTCCCATCCCTGAACCCTGAGAGATGCTGATCTGTCCCTGCCAGGGGCCGCTCTTTGCCTCCTTCATGCTGGTGAAAGTTGATCTCAGGCGGCAGAGCTCACGAGTCCCTGTTCACACAGGTGCTTGCTTGGGAACAAAAACATGTGGGGAGACAGGCAGCAGCTTTGCACGACCCCTGTGAAAACGAAGCTTGTGCGCTGCATAGCTGGTTGCACCGGGTTCATTTATGCCACGAAAGGGGCTAGCTGACCTTCAGGCCTCACTGGTGTTTCACAACTTTCTGTGTCCCACCAGCGCACGTCATGCTCCAGAGCCCAGGCTTCGCTTCCAGCTATGACACTGCTCCTTGTTCTGCCTGACTTCCCATGCTTGCAACCTAAGTATTGCCAAATCTGAGCCATAGCTAGCCCCAAGTCACCTTTTTTAACTACGATGCCTTCTTTTTTCTCTTTTGGTCTCTAAAGCCAGCACTAGCCCTACATCAGGCCTCGGCACTGCTGCCATTGTAGGCATCCTCATTGTGATCTTTGTGCTGCTCCTGGTGGCTGTGGATGTCACCTGCTACTTCCTGAACAAATGTGGCCTGCTGATGTGCATTGCTGTCAACTTATGTGGCAAATCTGGACCAGGAGCCAAGGGCAAAGACATGGAGGAGGGCAAAGCCGCCTTTTCGTGAGTACTGTTATCACTTCTCTCACTCCTTCTGTTGAGCAATGTGTCCCAGCAGCAACTCTAGAAAAAAAAACGTGTTTCAGGGAGTTCTGGCTTTCCCATGTCTTTTGGGAGGGTACTGAAAATAATTGGGGCCATGCTGTTTCTGCTTTTTATGTTCAGGAAAGGATTCTTTCAGACATTTCTCAGTTTTTCTCCCATTCCTTTGAGTAGCTATCAAATGGGTGACCCATATGCTGGACATCATAGTGTTCTTCTGTACTGTAGCTAATAACTGGAAGAAGGGGTGACAAAAAGAAATGATTTGCTGACCAATCCAGCCTGTTTCTGTCAGTCACCATTGGTATTTCAAGTATGTCTTTGCAGGAAGATCCCTAATGTGGATGGGAAACATTTTTATGTAATTTCCTCGTTACAGGAAAGATGAGTCCAAGGAGCCTATCGTGGAAGTGCGGACTGAAGAGGAGCGGACCCCCAACCATGACGGGGGAAAACACACAGAGCCCAACGAGACCACCCCACTGACAGAGCCAGAGTATGTTGATAACAGTCCATCTTAGCACAGTGTCAGTCCAGTGCTCTTAGTTGCCTTAATCCCTGATTTCTAATGCACATGATTCAGGGGAGGAAGAGAGGAAGACAGGTAAAATCTTCATACTTGATTCCCAACATATTGGTGAGGAAACGCTTCCTCTTTTTCCCGATCGACTCCTAGTTCCAGCACTGGAAGTGGAATAAAGCAGTGTTGCTCGAAAGGCTTGTCTCTGCTGATCCAGTCCAGTGTGTAGATCCAGCACCTGTCGTGGTTTGTTGTAAGGGATCCAGAGCAAAAGTTAGACCTGAGATGGCACTGAATGCTGCCTGAGCTCAGCCCTAGCGATGTCCAATGAGTGTGTGAACACCCCATGGTGAAAGCAGCCCGCTGTACTGACAGCAGCAGAGTAGCTGTGCTCTGCATGTTGGGGGAGGCATGGTAAGTCTGATTATTCCGTGGGATGGCTGAAAACTACCTACAAATTTTGGTCATATCAGATTTTGTTCAGGACCTGAATCTGTGAATCCCTGCTAAGAGTTTCAATAAGGTTTAAGTGTTGCCTACTGCCTGCATTAAACTGTTTCCTAAAGTCGTGAGGTTCTAGAGACCTCCAAGTACGTGTCCACAACTTCTGGAGTAATAAAAGCAGCAGTTCACTGCAGGAAGCTGCTGAAATGCTTGGTAATGTTTGGGTCAGGTTTGGGATTGATGGAACAAGTTGGGTTTCTTCAGCAGAGTCATCACGGTGGTGGTGTGGTCAGATTTCTCCACCTTTGTTGTCTCACCAACTTGGATTAGGTTAGCAGTGGGGCCCACTGTTCTTACGGCTCTGCTGGAAGTCTGTGTGAGGTGAGAGGAGAAAGGAGGCCATGTCCACAAGCAGTACGGAAATGCAGAAGTGATTCACTGTAGAATAGCTGGGATTTATCTTGTCATGATATTCTTGCCTTGTCTTACCAGGGTTTTAGCTCAGTTAGCTTCCTCTGCAAAGGTTTTCTCTTAGTTAGTAAGCCTGTGGTGGAGGCACGCTGCCTTCTCATGCAGTAAGAGTTCTTGTTTGTGTTTTCCAGCCTCATCTGTGTACTTCTCACACCAGTCAGTGCTATAGCATGGCTGCTACAGCGTAGTTAGTCAGACGTCCTAAAGCAGACTTTATTCCAGCTAGAACAACAGGCAGACATGAATCTGCTCTGCAGGGCAGAAAACATGGTCCCAAAGTTACGTGTGTGTATATATTAGGTGTGTGTATGAGAAAATATTCCATGCTGTGTGATGAAGATCTGAAACTTCTTGGCAAATGGATATGGCCAAGACAAGGGAGAGAATTCAGGGGTCCTATGCCAGGACATTGTTGCGTGGTTACAGCTGGCACCGGGCTGCAAGCTTGGGAAATTTGTAGAAAGCTTCCTTGTAAGGTTAGGTGTAAGAGGATGAGAGGGAAGTTAAGCTAAAAGAGAAGATTCTGTGCAAGTCGGTGGGGTTACATTGACTAAGACTTGAACCAAAATCTGCGTGAACAAGCCATTCCTGAAGGTTGTGTCCTCTCTGCTCTTCCATCTCTTCCTAGTTGTCCTTCAGTCGTCCCTGCCAGCCCTTGCTACCCTTTGCACATTTGACCTCTGACAAGTTTCTCCTTCTCGGCCTCCATGTTGTGTTTGTGTCGTAACCACATGCCATGCTGCTGCTGCCGTGCCACCCACCTGCCTCCTCATGCTTACGCTCTGCTTCCCTTCCCCTTGCTGTCGTTTATGGGCTTCATTGTCTCTATTTCTCTTCTACTCCTGTCCTCTTCACAGGCACACCGCCGATACCGCAGCTACCGTTGAGGACATGCTGCCTTCTGTAACTACGGGCACCACTAACTCTGACACTATCACTGAAACTTTTGCCACAGCCCAGAACAGCCCCACCAGTGAGACCACCACACTGACCTCCAGTATTGCCATGCCAGCCGCGGCCATTCCCGACTCCAACTCCATGTCGCCTGGCCAGGCTACTCCAGCCAAAGGGGGAGCCGCCTCAGTCTCTTCACCACCGCCCTCCTCTACCCCCAAAGTGGCCCCCCTTGTCGATCTCAGCGACACCCCGAGCTCTACTCCAGCTGCTAATAATTTGTCTTCAAGTGTCCTGTCCAACCAAGGCGCAGTGCTCAGCCCCAGCACTGTCGCTAACGTGGCCGAGACCTCCAAAGCAGCAGCTGGTAACAAGGCAGCTGCCCCAAGCCCTGCAAACCTCACTAGCCCTTCAGCTCCATCAGAGCCCAAGCAGGAGGTCTCAAGCACCAAGAGCCCCGAGAAGGAAACTGTGCAGCCCAGCACAGTGAAGAGCCCAACAGAGACAACCAAGAACCCAAGCAATGTGAAGAGCGAGGCTGCTTCAGGCAGCACCACAAACCCTTCCCAGAATGAGGACTTTAAAATGGACGAAGGGACCTTCAAGACACCAGACATTGATCTTGCAAAGGATGTTTTTGCAGCTCTTGGCACTACTACTCCTGCCAGTGTGACTAGCGGGCAAGCTCGCGAGCTCGCTTCTTCCACTGCAGACAGCTCTGTACCTGCTGCACCTGCAAAGACCGAGTATGGCTGCCTTTAATCTTCTGTTGGTTGTGTGCTGTCTCTCTTGTACACTGGTGCTTGTGCTGTGTTCTTGTTGGGTGTTCTCTGAACTAATCTCATTCTTTCCATAGCAAACTAACTCACCAGTGAACCAACTAAGCAGGGCTTGGCTTTAAAGGTCCAGGAGGAAAGCAGGAATAGGCTGTGCCAGGGCAGCAGAGAAAAGACAAACCCAGGAATTTATCATAAACATGTGATTCTTTATACTTTTCTGTAGTTTTATCTATCATAGATTATTCTTTTGTGAAAGAGATTGGAAGCAGTTTGGTTTGGTGCAAAGGAAGCACTGTCCTCAGAGGCTGTGAGTTCCTGCAGCCACCCAAATTCCATTTCTTAACAGATCAGCGGAACCATTCAGAATTGACATCAGTGGAAGGCAGGGCAGAAGGTGGTGCTGTGTGAAACTTAATTGTGATACCTCTGGGTTGGTGCTTGAAGGGACGGGGTAAGGCAGAGGGGTAAGGCAAAGAGATCCTGTCTGAGAGAAGGGGAGCACTCACAGCTGGGTCAGGAGAACTGGGTGGTGTCTTTGTTGTCCTGGTTCGTCAGCGATGAGTCTCCATCCACCATTCTTGGTCACCTTTTTACCCAGCTGGCTCATTCAGAGAGCACCAGCATGCCCCAAGGCAGGACAGCCATACAAGTCCTTCGGAGCCTTATTCCCTCTGGCCAGCATGCACTTTTCTCAGCTGAGATGAGTCTGCACCTGGTGTTTGGCAGGAAACACCGTAACTGGAGAGTGAAAGCCTGAAGTCCTCAGCATGAACTGGGGCCAGGGTCCTCAGCTGTTAGGCAGATGGTGGACAGGAGCGCTCTTGGTGTGCCAGTTTGGGCAGTGGTACTGACAGAGCCGTTAGAGCAGAGGCTTGGAAAATGCTGATTGAATGAGCCTCTCTGTAGGACACGAGTACTGAAGTTCCTTGTTCCTTTGGGCTTCCTGTATGGACTCCACATGCTGACAAAGGCAGAATCAAATAGAAGGAGCACCTCCTCTTTCCGGCCTGAGCAGGGGCAGTGCTTGTAGCTAAAAAGACTCCTGAACGGGCAGCTGAGGTTTGGTCTGGGAGAAGCTCCCAGAAGGCAGAGTCCACACCACACCTTGGGCTTTTGGAAGGGAAGGCATGTTGGTGGCACGGGGCCCTACACTGTCTCAGCCAGATTGCTGCCAGGACTTAAGCAGCTGCTCTTGAGCCGGGTTTGCAGCTCACACTGATACCTCTAAGCTGTGCTGCAGCAACCACAGGGACCACATTTCCTAAGGGACAGGTTTGGTTAGAACTTCTTCCACCCTCATCTCTCCAGGAAAATTGCCTCATTCTGAAAGCTTTGCATTTCATCCAAAATAAGGTATGGGCCTGGGTTATCTTGCTTTGACACTGTGGTTACCATGGTGCTCACACTTCCAGAAGAGAAGTCAGGCAGCCATCATAGAGCCAAAAGTTAGACTTTTTTGCAGAGCAGAGTGAAAACCCGTGCTGTTTTACTCTTACTCATCCTAAGGCCCTGGTCTCCGTATCTCCCGTGCTGTGCTCCTGTCCTCTCCTAAATCAGAGAGATGTCTGGTGCCTCCCCAGATGCCGTTGGGCTGGAGGGAGCCAGGCAGCTTGATGGGCACAGAGAGACCTCTTCAGTTCCCTGCAGGTAAAAGCTACTGCCCTGTCCTGCTGGGTGCCACAGAGACGTGGCGCTTCGGCCTCTGAAGGGAGTGTTGGACAAGCAGGTGTCTCAGTGTTCAGTCAAGAGCCAAGGGCAGGCTGATGAATCTGAACTGCAGCCTGTGAAGCTCTTGACCTTCCGTGTGCTTGCAAAAAGGCATCTGACAGAATCCACTTGTGTTTCCTTTCCTTCTGCATCCTGTGAAATTCTGAGAATGAGCTCCTGCAGAAAAAGAGATTTCCTGCTCGAGGGGCAGTCTGTTCCAACAGGACATTTGGGTGACGTAATTAGCGATGGTAAAAATCCAATTATTTTGCAATTGGGTGAAGGTTTCCTGTTCGTTCCTGCCGCATTTCACACTGCAGCACACCTTGTGCTTGTGCTGCCGCCTAAGGCCAGATCCTGCTTGTGTGTTAACTCAGGAGGGAAATCCTAGAGCTAAATGCTGGTGGGGAGTGGGGGAGGGGAGGGGAGTGTGGTTTTATTTATCTTTGCATCTGTCAAGGAGCTATGTTTGAATGTTTCCAGAAACATACTCTTATCACTAATTCACCATAGATGGTCAATATTTTTCTGTCTCTAAACTGCCATTTTGGTGATTTCTTCCTCAGGAAAACCCCAGTAGAAGACAAATCTGAAGTGCAAGCAACGGAAACTAAGACACCTCCAGCAGAAGTCAAGACGGTCCCAAACGAAGCCACACAAACAAATGAAAATGAGAGCAAAGCATGATCAGCGACAGATGAAAAAATGACAGAACAACTTCACCCAAGCATTTAAAACACGAAACACAACACACATCTCATTCCTCTAGTGTCTGTTGCCTTTTTTTTAAAAAAATACAAAACAAAACAGAAAATGCATAAACGGGGGGGGGGTTCTCTCTTTTTCTTTTTTTTTTTTTCTTTTTTTCTTTTTTTTTAAAAAGATTTTTAGAAAGGTTCTATTTGTTGTGCACTTGCTTTTAAAAAGTAAAACATTTTAAAAACAGGGTTAAACCCACAACCAAACCAGGGCTTAGCTGACCCTGCTTATTCAAATAAGCAAAACTGCAAATACCAGTTAAAACATCGCTGAGGAGCTCAAAATCAACTAGTCTTAGGCAAAGGAAAAAAAAAAAAAAAAAAAAAGAAAGAAAAAAAGACCCTGTTCTTTCCTTGGTTAGTATACTAGATATAACCGCTGTACTGCTTGACTACTTGGTACAGATGGTCCTTAATGAACAAAGTCCACAATTTATTTTTATACTTTTCAGTCGAGTTTGAAATATGTAAAGCCTCATAAATAAGTTATAATTTCTGTTCACCTTGTATTTGTTCAGTATGCAAAGTGTCTTGGCTCTTTGTGGCTGAATTCTGTTCTCCACATTAGACATTTATTTGGGGGGTTATTTTTTTTTTTTAGGAAGAATGCCAAAATTGCAGCTTCGGGGGATATATTTCAATTTGCAGTATTCAGACTCTACATTTCTTTAAATTTTATGTTAATTTTTGCCAACTTTTGTTCTTTCCAGTGTTTACAATTGACAAATATTTTTTTAACTTTTGTTGTGTTTAAATGTATGTGTAAAATAGCTGCCTTTTTTTTTTTTTTTTTTTTAAGTGAATCCAGTCTATAGATACTAGGTTAGCAGCATGCTTGCTTTGCAAAGGGAGACATTTTTAAATATCGATGTTTACAGTAGTTTCCCCTTTATCTTTTTTAATTATTATAATAATTATAATTATTATTATTATTTCTTACTGGAGTAAGAAAAAGAGTAATGCTGGTCTTTGGTTTGTTTTTTTGGGGGGGCGGGGGGTGGGGATATTCCAACCACTTGTCATCAACTGAGGTCTGTACCCAGCAATCCACATAAACACACGCTTAGCTTGGAATGAGAGAGTTGCTGGCGAGAGTCCTTATATGCTTAAATTTATTAAGAGTGTAAGTCCCTTGCTGGACCTGGGCCTGACTGCATAAGAAAAATATCATCTCTGCTTTTTTAGGACATTCTCCCTTTTCCTTCATGGAACCCTCCCAGAGCTTTGAGAGGCAGAAGAGAGATTGTACAGTTAGGGCTGGGCTGGTCTTATCTCAGATGTTCGATGACATCAATTTCTCCTTTATATGGCAGTAAACGCCGTTTCCTTTGACCCCAGAAAGCTGATTTAAAAGCAATGACTTTCTGCACTTAGAGAAAAAAGAAGTTTGCTTTTGAGGAGTGGTAACACTAAAAAAGAAAAAAAAGGAACGTCCTTCTCTCGTGGATGAAGTTCCTGAGCACAGGGATGCTTGGCAGCGTGCAAGCGCCCTCCTGCACGGCACGTCTGTCCATGGGTGCTCTGCAGAAACAAAATCAGTGCTTGGAAAGCGGTGCCAAGGCTCCGCTTGATTCTCTGGTCTTTGGATCATGTCTTTAAGTCAGAAAAGGGGCTGATGCAGCATCACTGTGCAGGGGGGAGCAGTGGGAGTTAGCCTTGGGAGTCACGGAGTAATACCAAGATTTGGGGGTGAGAAGGCGCTTGAGCAGAAGGAAGGAAGAGCAGAGGTGTACAGGGGTAGACCAGCCCGTTGTATAGAGCTGTTCCTTCTCTGGGGGTTTTGTTGTTTATTTTTTCCTTTATTTCTTTTTTTTTTTTTTCTTTTTTTCTTTTCCTTTTTATTTTTTTTTTAATTCTACTTTAGATCTGCAAGCTTGTGCACTGTGGGTGCGTGACTATTTTAGTGTGAAACGTGTTTTTTGTCATAGTATTGAAAAAATTAAAAAAAAAAGCTTCAACATAGTTTGAATGTGGAAGGTGTAGCAGATAGATCAGATTTGAAGAATTTATTCAGGAAAAAAAAAAAAAAAAGAGAACAACTCTAACAAGGAACAGAAGCCTTTAAATGAAAAGCAAAACTGAGCTGGCTATGGCATCCATTCCAATGTGCGAAGGTGACAAACAGAAGGATGATGGGGGGCAGAGGGACTGCTGTTTGGCTCAGTGTAGCTGAGCCACTCTCGTTGATGTTATCTTCCACGTACGCAGTCTTCTCCAGTGGCATCGCAGATTTTCGAACTGAAAATGATGGTTTTGTCATTTGCTAAGTGTGGGGTTTTTTGCGTTTTTTCCTCAGCTCCTGGGGATGGAAATGGAGGATGACTGGATACGCAGGCACAGACACGCATGCAATACCCATCCCGAGCAGGACATCAGGGCAGGATAGGTCCTCACTTCAAAGCCTTGTGGCAGATTTGGCCCTTGCTTGACCCAGGACAGCAGTGGCAGTGTAAGTAAGGCAAAATTTTGCCCGTGGTCCCTGGGGCTTTTTCTTTTCTAAGAAGTCACTCCGTGAAATACACGATGAAAACTCACCGTGGTCTACAGCTGGGGAGAGTCCTTGGGGCAGCAGAGGACTGAGTGGTGGCAGGCAATACAATACGTACCTCTGTTCCTTGGGATAGCCACAACAGCTTGTTCCTCATTTCCGTGACGTTTTTGACTGCTGTTGTCCTCTTTACGTTATACCTCATAAGTTATGTCCCGTTGAGAGCTGAGCAGCCCATAGGGAACAAATGCTAATGACCAGAAACGTGTCCAGGGACACTGGTCAGCGCCTGCCGGGTGAAATTTGTGACTCTCACCTTGGGCTGGCGTTTCTGTTGTAGCAGGTAACCAGCTGAGGGCCCGATCCACCACCCAGCCACGTCTTTAGAAATGGCCCCGCTGGCTGCGGTGGGTTTGTATGGCCCGATGGAGTGAGCATCACCCCAAGGCAGGAGTCACCCCGTGGTGCCTGAGCCCTGGCTCTGTCCTCTTGCTGTTAATGCTCTCGTGACACCACCCGACACCCAGTGCTTGTAGGTTCATTCTGAGGACTGTTTTTATACTTGCCCTTAATGCAGAATTTGTTTTAATTTAGATGTATCCCGCTCCGGAGATAGCTTAGGCTTCATTGGTTTTATTTCACTTTTTGAAGAGGGACCAACCTGATGCCGTTTGCGCTGTATATGTTTATATATGTATCCATGCCATACATATATATATCTATATGGCACCTCAGACTGATCAGCTTCTAGTTGTGGAGTGATTGCATTTCATGCTGCACCATACGTAAAGATGATGAGATAATAGTGCATCCAGTTGTTCAGCTTTTAGAGTGGAGTTTTATTTTCACACTTTTCTATGGAGCCTTCAAACCCCAGATTTTCACACTAGGCTGTTTTGATAGTTGTTCTCAGACCCTCCATTGACATCCTTACCCAGCATTCCCTACTTTTGGGGGCCTTCTATCTTGTTAAAAAAACGAAAAAACAAAAAATCTTTTTACCGAGTGAAACATCGATTCCACCTTTATTCCCATTCTCACTGGTGTAAATACTGATACTAACTGAGGATTTTGACTTTGCATTCTGTCAGAATACTGTGTTCAAATAAAAGTTACAAAAAAAAAAAAAAAAAAAAAAAAGCTCACGCCTACAGTCTGCACTTCTTCAGATGCTCTCTGCTAGGTCCTGCATACAGACATGGATTCCCTGGGCTGTATTTGCATGTGATTTTATCTCGGTGTATTTCTGAAGTTTGAGCCTCTGTCACGCCTTGGGTACTGGCCTCGAGATCACTGACACACAAATGCTGTTTGATGCCCGCTGTGGAGCTGAGTCAGGCGGGTTTCCCATAAAAACATTGCTCTGTTCACTGGCTGCGGGTGGTGTGTGTGTGTGTTCACAAGTGTTTGCTCTAAAAGTGGCATTAACACATCCCAAATCATGGCCCTGGCCTGGGCTAATGTTGGACTGATGTAACCAAACTCAATTCTGTCCTAAGCACCCATCTCCCAGGAGACGTGGACTGGGAAATGAGAACTCTGGAACCTGGCAGTACCTGGCTGCCAGAATTGGTCACACACAAAAAAAAAAAAAAAAAAAAAAAAAGTGGTAAGTGTGTTGAGATAAAGCATCATTATCCCAGGAGAACGGCTTTGTCTTTTCTGCTTCTTCACCAGCACTCCTCTCTCTTCCTGAACGCAGCTTGCGATGTGTTTTGCAGTCAGTGTTTGAGCAAAGCTGCTGTGACTGGCCCCGTATGTGCCTGGTGCTGCTGCTTTAGAAAAGGCTGCCCCGGTCTCCTCTTGGAAAATGACAGCAGGCTGAAGCAGTCAAAATCGATTTTAACTTGTAACATGGCTTCTGTAGGAAAACCACATCTTCGGGTTCTGAATGCACCCGAGTCTGGGGGCTGAATCCTAGCCTGAGGCCACACAGATCCAATCTCTTTATTGCTTTCATTTCCAAATGAATGCAGCTGAACAAAAGATTCGTGCATACGCAGTGCTTCAGGGTGCATCGCCGGCATCATTTTCTTCTAAAATCTTTTCTCGGTTCCTCCTTGCAAGGCAAATGTCAGAGCAGGTCTGCTAATGAGGGATCACAATTTCCCACCCCTGCCCCGCCATTGGTCTGGAAGCCCCTCTCTGGAAGCTTTAATCCACCAGGAACTGGGAAATGTTTTTGTTGCTGATGTAACTGATAAAGCCCAGAGCAAACACCATCTCCGTTCAAAAGCCTGAAACCTGCAGAGTCCAAACTCCTCGATAAAGAAATTTGCTGGGAAAGATGTTCAAGTAGATTCAGGTCTTTCACTGTGCAGGGTCCACGTCCCTTAAATAACAGTACCAACAAGTACAATTACTGTTATCAGCACCGTGAGATCCTGCAGGAACACAGCCACGTCTCTCGTTTCTGTATAATGGTTACCAAAATGCAATGGGAGTGGACAAGAACACTGCATGAGACAAGAGACCTGGACAGAAGTAAACAAATCAAAGCTCATTGAGAATTACAGGGAGTAATTACATAGAAAGTCCAAGAGGTACTGCCAGTGGCAGTAATTCTCTCCAGTGGTTAAAGGCAGGGAGGCTGGGCTGAGAGCAGGGCAGGACAGCAGCTGGGCTGAAAGCACCAGGGCTTCAGTTTTATTGTCATGGGGCAGCATTCACATCCTCGTGGTACTCAGAAAATTCAGCCAGGAACAAACACGGTGCTGGACTCCAACCAAAGCACAAAGGAGGATACGGGTGGCAGAAAGTGCATCAGTGTGGGCAAGGAATAAAAAGTACAAGCACGATCCTCCTAACGGAAATATTAATCAGTGTGAAAATGGCTCTTTTCCAGCAAAGTGGAAATTTCCACCTGAAAATTACGTCCACACTGCCTGAAATTTTGGAGATATTCTCAAGCCCCCTTGAACCTTCCCACACCCCCTGAACACTTAAATGGTTCTTGGCTTCTCAGCAGGGGGAGGCCAGCTTCACTGCTGCTACATCAGCAACCCATGGGGCTGCAGCAAGGTAACGGGTACAGCATGAAGATGCAAGAGGTGCTGGTAGACTCCACTAATGCCTGTGTGATCCCAGATACACCTCACCAATCCCAATAAATCCCTGACAGATATTTTTTGATATGTACTTGATATGTTTTGATCCATAGCGATAATAAAAACAGATACAGATTTATGAGTAGATTTGCAAATGCTTCCAGGACGTCATTTTAAATGCTTCTGCAGAGCTGTATGGCAGCATGACCGCCCTGGCACCATTTCCATGAAGGCAGCTCTGTGCCCTGCATGTCACCAGGTAAATTCTCCCTGTCAGCTGCAAAGTGGCAGGAAAATCCTGCACCTGGCACGGCTGCACCGAGCTGAGATGGGGAGCATGCGCCACAGCCACACTCGCCAGGAGGGATTAAGCAGATCTGCTTACAGCGGAGGTGTCGCCTTCTTCATAAGCTGAACGGCACAGCTGACCCGAGATTTTCATTTCATTTGCTGTAATGAACTCTCTGCCTGGCTGATAAATGAATCCCAACTCTACCTTCCGCAGCCGTGTTATTAGCTTTGTTCTGCCCACAAGAGGCTCACGTCCTCCAGCTCTCTCCTCGGGGTTCCCTGGCTGTTGGGTGCAGCTGGTGGGCACGGCGCTGTGCAGGGGCACTGGCACGGCAGGGACCCCGCAGCAGAACAGCACCACGGCTGCCCTGGGAGTTACTCTACAGGAGCATTTGAAGGGCACGGGGAGTGAGCAGCAGCTCTCTGTGCAGCACTAGCAAATTGCTCTCTTCTGTAGCCCTCCCGCTGAGTCTGATGAGCAGGAGGAATAAACAATGGATGTGACAGCAGAATGAACGGCAGCTTCTAGCATGGGGAGAGAATGGGAAGCTGAATGGGAGGGGCAGAGGTAAAGGTTATTTTCATGCAGGTGATGTGAGATGTCACAGCTTTAATCCGAAAGGCTTTGGATCAGGGCCTCTGACCCGGGGGGTATCCGGGAGGCAGGAGAGGAGAGCAGAGGAGAGTGCAAAGCTGGCAGCAGAGCGCAGGGGTGGCTGGACTGCAGAAGCCAGTGACAGCCTGCAGGAACAGCGCCTGCCCATCTCCCACCCGTCTGCAGGGGTGCATCCGCAAATTCTCAGTGCTCAGAAACCCTCCGAAGTGCCCCCCTTCCCTCCCTCTGTCTTGTGGTGCTGTTGCAGGAGAGGCAGAACCCAACGCCTCCCTCTCCATCAGCACACAGGCTCACTGCTGCTGCTCGCATGCAGCACCCAGGGGACAGGAGAGAGAGGCAAGCAGGGAAGCCTGCCTCAAATCTGCCTGCTGCAACCCAGCACTTCCAAAACAGACTTAATGAACCAACAAGCCCAGCTCTTTGTTTTGCCTGTGGCTTATTTATAACATTTTTTATTCTCTTAGACCTTAGGGGTGGCTTTATTCCCCTGATTTCCTAGGATAATGAACACAGGCTAGACTGCTGAGCATCTCAGCAATATAGCTATTGCCTCCTGGGTATTTTTAATTGGACACCAAAGACACTGGATTTGAAACAGCTTCATTAGTGAACCAAGCCCCGCCTCTGGGATGGAGGTTTGCATGAGCAGAGCTGCCTTGCAGCGAGAGGAGAGAAGGAAGCATATTTATTAAATGTGCATGAAAGGCAACTCCTGGCAGCCCCTGGGGCCAGGGGCTTGCAGGGATGGTGCAGCGCAGCGCGCTGTGGGCACGGACAGCCCAGGAGCGCATTTCTCCTCCCAGCGGTGTGGTGGGGCACTGACCAGGAGGGTGAACGTGCCCGAGATTTGTAACCCCACGGAGAGATTTCTAATTTCACGCCCAGCGGACACCACAGTGGCCTGTCCTTGGTATTCCATGTCTTAGGCAACGCTGCCGCTTTCAGGAGACTCGCCAGAGCACCTCCCTCTCCGTTTCTCACTTTCCTCTCCTGAGATGGCTGCGTTACCATGTCTGGGATTAAAACACCCTAGGGCAGCAGGGACTCAGTGATGCTCTGAGACTGATGTCTTCCGGTAACTGCAACCTTCAACCTTCTGGCTCTAATAACGTGTCTCCAGAGTGTGGTGACAGGGCCCTGTCGGGCTGTTGGAGCCACACAAGCTCCTGTGCGTGACCTGATGGCGACGTGCTTTGGGTGAAGTGCCATGCGGGAGGACCTGGATGCAGTGAGTGCTCTGAACGTCTCATCTGACGTGTCCCAGCAGGGCCGCATGGTGTAAAGGAGGGCTGGGCAGCTCCTGAGAGCTGCTCCTTGCCGTGTGTGCTGCCAGAGATCAGCCAGTCCCCGCATCACCTTTGCTGCGTCTTCATCACCCGGAGGGCTCCAGCATCCTCAGCACAGCTGGAGGAACAGCTGGGGTCTGGCTGCACACGCACTGGTGGGTGCATGGAGGCTGATTTGGGGACTGGGGAGACAAAGCAGAGGAAGGTCTGAAATGACAGCTCCGGGAGAGCTGCCCAGATGTGTTTGTGCTGGAGGATGGTGCCATCCTCTGGCTGTCTCGCTGCTGGCAGGCTGTGTGTCCTGCCCGAGAATGGAGCCCCCAGGCCCTGCAAACCCGGGGCCTGACCCTCCGAGGGACAGAAAGCAGTCGCTCTACCCCTGTCTTTGCAGGGTATCTTTAGAAAACACCAGAGCATAAAGGGCTCAAGGATATTGCTGTGGATGAGCATGCACATTTCCTAAACCGGGCCCCCTCTCCCTGTGGCTGGTTCTGCTAATCCATGCTTCAGATCACTTTTATTTTGACCCAAGAAACCCCTTTTCACTCTTTATTTATTTATTGTTTTATTTTTGGGCAGGCTACAGGATCTGAAATGCTCCTTGGAGAAAAGAAGGGCTCGTACTGCTGCTGCTGCTCTCCCTCCCAGCAGGATGGACAGCCTGCCTGCAGGATGGACAGATTGCTAGCAGGACAGACAGCCTGCCAGCAGGACAGACAGACTGCTAGCAGGACAGCCTGTCTGTGGGACGGACAGCCTGCCAGCTCTGCCAAAGCAGCCTCAGTGGGTGTCTGACAGAGCAGCAGCAGCAGGAGACCTCAGTCTAGAGGGAATGGCCTCAAGTTGTGCCAGGGGAGGTTAAGGATGGAAATGGGGAGACGTTTCTTCTCAGGAAGAGCA